TTGTGCTTGTGCTTGTGCTTGTGCTTGTGCTTGTGCTTGTGCTTGTGCTTGTGCTTGTGCTTGTGCTTGTGCTTGTGCTTGTGCTTGTGCTTGTGCTTGTGCTTGTGCTTGTGCTTGTGCTTGCGCTTGTGTTTGTGTTTGTGTTTGTGTTTGTGTTTGTGTTTGTGTTTGTGTTTGTGTTTGTGTTTGTGTTTTTGTGCGTGTGTGTTTGTGTTTTTGTGTGTGTGTTTGTGTTTTTGTGTGTGTGTTTGTGTTATTGTTTTTTTGGTGTGTGTGTGTGTTTGTGTGTTTGTGTGTTTGTGTGTTTGTGTTTGTGTGTGTGTTTGTGTTTGTGTTTGTGTGTGTGTTTGTGTGTGTTTGTGTGTGTTTGTGTGTGTGTTTGTGTGTGTTTGTGTGTGTGTTTGTGTGTGTGCGGAGTGGCAGAATACCCTGCCGCCACAATTGCTTATGATTTCAACCGCAGGGGGGCAAGGCCTCCAGTGATGAACCTTGCCCAACGAAGCTGCATCACTGGAGGGGATGCAAGGCCTGATCAGCCTTGTGCGCCTGCAACATTTGAGTGATTCTGAAAGTCCTTTTGGCCCTCTTCCTTTGCCGCTGTAAGTGCTTCTTGTTGCTTCTGTAGCGTTTTCGATTCTACCGGAAAGCCAAGCGTCTTGCGAGCCGAAACTCATCGTACTCGAGACTTATCAGTTGTACTCGAGACTCATCAGTTGTACTCGAGACTCATCAGTTGTACTCGAAGGATTAGCACCCTCCCTTGGGAGCTGAAGTGTGACTACCCCAGTTTGGGGGAACCTCGGGTGTACCCATCGTGTGCCCCGGGCCGGTTCGCCGGACAATTTGACCTCAACGTTCATATCATAGTCCAGCGGAATTTCACGATTTAAGCAGGAACGAGGTTTCACTAAAGGGAAGACAGCCGTCAGATCATAGCGAAGTCTCACACTTGATGCTGTTGGCCTCATGACCGCGCGTTGATATTTGCTTGGCTTGAACTTTCGTTGACTTTCATCTTGTCGGATTCGATTTTCTCAAGATTGAGTTGTCGTGGGGTTGAGTTTGTTGTGCCACCACGTCTCGATCCGCACCCTCCGGTCAACTACATGTTGCCGTTCCCTCCTGAACCTGCACCGGCGAAGACCGTGAAGTCGATGATGCCGCCTCCTGGTCACACAAGTTCATCCTTCTCAAACAACGACAGCGCCTGGCTATCCAACTACGCTGCCAGTGCAGCCTCAGAAAGCATGGCATACTCCGCCGGAAGAGTGGCAACCTGGTGACGGCATGCCGGACAAGAACCAGCTCTACCCCCCCAGCCCGCCCAGGACGGCTGCCAACACCCCACATAATACGCAACGGGACATGTCGGGCATGGACATCCGGGACGTTCGCCTGGTTCAGGTCATTCACGGTGGCATCTCTAACTGGCTACTGAGGCCATTTGCTCACGGGAGATTCGTGACGTGGGAAGGACTTCGCACCCGCACCGAGGCCTTGCTTTGGAGTACCTGTGCGAAGTTGCTCCGTCGATCTCAACCACTCAACCTGCTCACTTTGGAAAAGGACCTAGCCAATTCGCTGGGACTCAACATTGATGACTTCAATCAGCGGATCAAGGTTCACGATCACTTGGACAATCTGGTGCTTCAGTTTCTTCAGCAGCATCATAAGACTCTCACACCCCATGCTCAAGAAGATGAGATGCTTAAGAAGTACAACAATCTCCAACGAGCTCACGAGTTGCTCCAGGCACAGTACTCGGCGTCACACAGAACGTCGCCTCCTTCTACAATGACATCCCAGAAAGATGACGCAGAGCTGGTCACGCCGCCTCCGGTCAATCACTCACAGTCTTCGACGCCTACTACCCACGGTAAGTGCGGCGGCCCTTGACGGCAGGTCATTTGATGTTCCATCTCAACAGCAGCCTCGGATTATCCAATCTCTTCACGGACTGTCTTCCCCGCCTTCCAGACAAGCAACACCTCAGTTGCTCACCATGCACAGCACGCCGGAAGACATCATCAAGCGCTACACCTGGGCCAGTGATCAGCCACGATTATACCTCAAGCAGGCTCCTTACTACTACTACCGTGCCATCGCTGATCAAGTGGGCTAACCACCCGTCCCGTCTCAACGGCAACAAGTCTTTGGAACCCATGGCGGCTCACTCTTGCAGGCGCGCCAACGTTTGCCCAAAGGTGATGCTCCTACGTTTGCTTCAATGGCTCAATGGCCTCTTTGTGGGGACTGGAGCCAGGCTACACCACCAAGCTCTCGGACACAGCGCTGTGCCTCCTCATTGTGGCAGCTCGACTTCTCACCGGATGAAGCGTGTCTGCCTTTCAAATATGAGCCCGGAGTGGCGACTTTGCGGCGTTGCGATCTGCGCTGAAAACTTGTCTGCACTTGACTTGCGGCTTGTCATGACTTGTGAGTTGCTTGTCTTGTCTTGTGAGTTGCTTGTTACTTGTTGCCACACTTGAATGCATGTCGCCGCCACCTTGCAGCTGCACTTGGTCAGACATTCATCATGTGGACTGAGCTTCAGCGCAGCGGGATGTTTGAGGACGTTGCGCAATGGCACTCCTTGGCTACTTTTCTGGAGTTTTTCTCCGCTTGCTGGCGGTACTGCTTCCCTGGACTTCAACTACCAACGGCACCTGCGGATGAGTATGAATCGATTCAGCATTTACCTCAGTTGGACCTCATCCTGGATGCGCTCACCCTGGTTCGGATTGCACTTCAAACACCGATGCATTCCATGTCACGTACTCGTCACACAGTTGCCAACAGATATGAGCTCCACAGATGTCGGATCACTTCGTATCTCCTAATTTGCTTCTTGCAGCGACTCATTTCACAGAACCATGGGTACGTACCACCGTTCTTTGAGGTCCTTCACTTCTACAAGACGTCATTGCTGTGTGAGGTCACGCGCTCCACTTTCGCTGATATGAAACACCTCAAATCCCTACGGTCTCGTTTTCCGGACCTGTATGATTAAATTCAAGATCCAGGACACCATCAACAGCCTTGCGTCTACATCAGACTCTCACCGTGGCATAGTCCATGTTACATTGGTGCTACTGATCAGGATGTTCTTCGCACAGAACACTCCCGTTGCCGCAAATATCTACAACTTTTGCGGGGACAACATGCCTTCTTTAAACCTGCACTTCACTATTGGAAGCGATCTAACAACTACTGGCTTTTCTGTGCGATTCCAGTTGAGATCAAACTTCCTACTTCCTCGGTTTGGATCCAGGAAAGCAAATGGCAGCACATGCTACGCCCGCATTTAAATGCACCCTGGGTACACAGACTTCTTCGGACAATTGGTTTCCGTGAACATCTGGTTGACTTTCGGCGACATTCGTTATCCTCGCCTACGTCATTATCCCTTCACAAGCGGTTTCGGCGACGACTACATCCTGATCTACATCGTCAACTGCGGCCAGAGATGCTGGATGACATCCAAGCACGCTATTCCACTCTGTATCGGTTGGGATCTAATACAGGTGCGTCGTTTCAGACCATGCGTGAACTTTTATCGGCGGCTTTCCCCTCCACCCAACTCTACTATTTCCTGCGGCTTTCCACCTTTGTCAATGAACCTTTTCGCTCCAAGGCTCAGAAGCTTCTCGCCCAGGTCTTGCGTAAGCGACAGCTCCAGGTACCAACTACCATGACACAACTACTTCTTCCACCTCTACATGTTCGAGACTGGAAAGCTCAGCTTGGAACCTGGTTGCAGCGTTGGGTGGCATCTCACTGTGCCCTCTTTCCGTCCTTACTTCTTCCGAAGATCCGGGTTGTGGAAACTCGCAGTGCCACCTTGGGAGACCGGATCTACAACTACCGCAAGTGGCAGCGAAGATGGACTCCGGATACGTCTTTCCCGTGTCGCTGCATTGGCATGGACGACCGCACCACTTCTCGCGCACATTCTCATGCAGTGATTTTGGACGAGTTTTCACGCATCAACGCTGACA